CCCTTTCAGGCTTTTGGAAAAACGGCTTGACATGTGGATGAAAATACTTACTTTTCAAAAAAAAAAAAAACTGATGCTCTCTAATTTTAATAACAAACTTTGCTTAATATTGTGTATTTTTGACTCTATAAAACAACTCCTATTTCATGGAAGCAAGACTCCAGCCACCATGGACATGGGAAGTCCACCCAGTCCTGGCTTTCACGCCCACTTGTTCCTGGAAATGTCACCCACTCTTGTGGTGGTAACATTAGCCGGCCAGTGTCTGGCAGATAGGCCCTGGCCTCCAGCTGTAACAATATCATCACGTGTGGCTAGTTCTTTAACCCACACCGACCATTCTGCATGAAATGGTGGAGACACATGTGGCCTCCTTTTCAGAGAGACACAGTTGCATGCAAACATGACTAAACACTTCCCCTTCAGGTTCTAGAAAACCTTATGGGGCATTTGAGACCCAGGAGGCCATTAGCCTCTACAAGAGCCAGCACATACCAAGGCCAGACCAAGCAAAGGCCTGTGCAAAGTCCTCTTATCCTTCTCAAAGTCGTGGGAGTGAAGGTCTTACGTTGGTACATCTTCCAAGATTCTTTCATAAAGTCTTTTTTAGTTTCACTACAATAGTGCAAAAACTAAATCGTTCCTGGCTTGAACTATGTAGAAAAACAAAATCTTTCCAAAAGTATCAATATTTGGACTACTTTTAAAGGATTCAGCACTAGATTTCAGACTATCTGTCCCGCCTATATGCAAAAAAGATGAATTTCTGAGCATCTGTATACACCAAACATAAACATACATATACACACATGCACACTTGTATGTGCATATATACATACATAGACATTATTTATTTATCATTGTGCACATGCCTGCATATCCCCCATAGGATCACAAGTGTACGTGTGTGTGTGTGTGTGTGTGTGTGTGTGTGTATGAGAGAGATCAGGGCTTGAACCGAAGGTCATTTACAGAAAACAGAATCTATACGCCTTGTTTAGATGAGAGCACAGAGGCATACCTTCAGAGTGCCTAAGAGTAGAGAGACAGCTACTTCCAGTTTACCTTAAATATTTTAATTATTTGAAGCCCATGACTAAATCTGGAACATTAGAAAAGCTATTTGGATTACTAAGACCCAAAGCCCTCTTTCTCTTCAATAGGAAGACATACACTAGCACATAAAGCTGTATAGAATCCACAGAAAATGACCCCACTGTCCACTTCGCTTGGCTTCCCTAAGCCAGACAAATGTGGGGATGAGGTAACAGAATGTCTCTTTATGTTTGCATAACCCCCCTTACAAAGCAGATGCACATTTCTGTCTTTCCCCCTCCTCCCCGTGACATAAAAATGTTTATATTTTTAGAACTGTAACTCTAAAATACCATCCTTTTTAAATGGCAGTATTAGATTGCTGGCTTCTCTGGAAGACAGCCATCATACATTAACAAAACACACAAGATAGAAAGTCAAACACAAAAAAGGAAAATATATAAAACACATCCTATACAGTGGCCATGTCCTATACCTTTTGACATGCAGGCAGTATCCACTGGCCCTGGGGTTTCCTGTTCAGGCCCCTGAGATGCTGACCGAGTTCCCAAATGTAATCCCAGTCTCCTCTTTCTTATTACATTGTTTGTTTATTCCCCCCAGTAATCCACCGAGCCAGTCACTGAGAGGTTAATAAAAAAAACAACTTTATTCACAGAGGCTGAGACTTTGGGATAACAAAATAGCCAATGGCAGCCCTTCTGCCACATTTTAAATCAATCACAGTGAGCCTAGATCTCAGCAATGAAATCTCATCCACGTCCTTAACGGCAAGGGCGCTCTGCAGCTCACTAATGTGTTCCCACCAGCCTGGGTAGAATGCCGTCAGGGAAGCATGTATGAGTCAGTAGCACATAGCTTTAAGGATGAATTCTCAGACAGTCAACTCTGTGCCCACAAATTATTAAATTATTAGGCTTCTCCTAAATGTCCTTTCCAACATATTAGCCAATAGGCTCTCTTAATGTAAAGTTCGTGTTCATTTTTATATAAGTCCTAGAAACTATTTAAAGGTCATTTTGAAGACCTATCGCAGCCCACCTCCAGAACATATGACATATTGTGCCTATCCCACATCAGATAAAATTAAAGTAACTTGGAGGTTCAGGAGATCGGCTTTCAGAACTCCTAAGATAACCCAAAGCGAGATACCACAGAGGTTAGGTCCATTTTCCAAAAGCCCCGAGCTGAACTGGACTGTAAAAATCTCAATTTTCTTTTTTAAAAAATCTCAATTTTCTTAACTAGATCTTTGCTGCAGACCCCTGCCTTGCAACCCACCCCTCCCACCAGACTTCCAGTCACCTCCATGATGGGTTTATTTAGCTTCAGCTCTGGGTCTGCTTGGTAGGGGTTGGAGGGAGGAACGGGGTCACGTTGCAGACTGGGACGCAGTGGGCTGGGAATGTCTACAAGAATCCTCCCAGCATGCCTTATGTTCTATGGTTCCAGAGAGGGGCCACCAGCAGATTCCCTTACTCTTCCGCCCCTAACCCATCTCTCCCTTTGCCTGCTTTTCATGTGTTTGTTCACCCAACTTTTTTGACGATGGTAGTCCTTCACTACCCAATTCTGGAAATGTAAAAGCAGTTAAACCTAGATCTTGAAGAAGACATGAAAATAGGAAATCTTATGTTGTCTGCGACATCTTCCCTCCTCTTCACACACTTCCGGTCCCCCCCTGAAATCTTTGCTCCCTTAAAAACAAAAGTAAAGAGATCGGACTACTGCTATGGCTGGTAATGTGCGTTGGAGAACATGTATGTTGACTAATGACTAATGCTAAATTATATAGAGTGCACTTCCTTAACAGTTGTTAATATAAATGTTTTCACAGAGCAATTGTTATAGTAAAAAGAGTCAAGTGTTTAGCCAAAGAATAGAACATGTTTCTTTTCCTGTCTAGAAAGAAAAAAAAAAAGAAAGAAAGCTTCTCTATTTAAAATAAAAATGTGGTTCCTCATCTTCCAGCTGGACATTGGTTGGGAATCCTCTCACCAGGGCTTAGATCTGGCAAAGAACCTGAAAAACAGGGTCACTTCGGTGTCCCCACAACTGGACTTCCGGGACAAACCCAGCTGTGAGCACCCACCTATCTCCCAGACCTGTGGGAGCCCAGGCCCCAGTCACAGCGACGATGGAGCTGGCAAGGGCAAGGGGTAGCCACCACTCTTCCTCCCGCCGTCCTGCCTTCGGGGTGTCTGGCCTTCGTGTGCCCCAGACACGCAGGACCTGTGGTGGGTGGCCGAAGATCACACCTTTAAACTGACCTCAGGTCAAGGAATTCTCCTCCCGCGGTGGGAGGTCTGAGATGCCCAAACTCCCTGCGGGGCAGGATCTTTTAAAATATCCGAAGGCGTCCAGGTCCGGGGAAGGTCCCCTCCAAGAAGCGCCCCCCCATCCCCCCCCCCCCCACACACACACACCTGCGCGCATAAGTTGGAAACACTTCCCAGGATCCACACCGCCGCGAAGAAAAAGATGTTTGTTGTTGTTGTTTTTTAAGACTCCTTCCCCCAGCAGCGGGGAGCCATGGTGACTCCGGAGAAGCCCAGACCAGGGCAGACAGGGGAGGAGCGGCTCCTCTGGGCCGCCTCACTGGAAGTGAAGCACGGCGTCGGGGAGCTGCAGAGGGAAGTAGGAGAGGAAAGGGATCCCGAGCTGGTAGAAGTCGCCCTGGACGTGCGGTTCTAGCATTAGCGAGCGTTGAAGGCGGACAGAGCTAGTGGAGGCGGCCAGCAGCGAGGTCCTCAAACAGCCGCCTTGATCTGCTTTGCACTCCCCACGAGCTCGGCCCTGCGCCGGCTTCTGGCCCTGCCGTCCCGCCAGGATGCTATCTATGCTGAAGCTCTTGGACTTGTCGGAGCTCCTCGGAGAGCTGCGGCAGGCGGGGCGCGCAGGGGTCCCCGGGCGGTCCACCGGGCGCGCCTGCTGGCCCACCGCCGCCGCCACCGCCGCGGCGACCTGGACAGCGCCGCCCCCCGCATCCACCTCTGGGGACTCGAGCCCGGGGCAGAGGAGAGACGCCGGCGAGGAGCCCTCCCGGAGGGGCCAGGGGCGCGAGGGCGCTCCCTCGTGGCGGGGGGTCGCGGGGCTGGGGCGCCCTGCCCCGCTCCCCGCCTCGGTTGCGCCTCTGCCGTGCGCTCTGGCGTCTCCGCACGAGACCGCTTGGTCTCCGGGGCCCCGGCGCCCGGCTTGGGCTTCCTCTTCCGGCGACGGTAGTTGCCGTTCTCGAACATATCCAGGCAGCGCGGGTCCAGCGTCCAGTAGCTGCCCTTGCCCGGCCGCCCTTTCTCGCGGGGCACCTTGACGAAGCAGTCGTTGAGCGAGAGGTTGTGGCGGATGCTGTTCTGCCAGCCCTGCCTGTTGTCGTGGTAGAAGGGGAAGCGGTCCATGATGAACTGGTAGATGCCGTTGAGGGTGACCCTCTGCTCGGGCGCGTCCTGGATCGCCATGGCTATGAGCGCGATGTAGCTGTAGGGCGGCTTCTGGGGGGGCTCTGCCCGGCCCGTGGCCGCCAGGGCGGCGGCGGGGGCGAAGGCCAGAGGCAGCCCGGGCCTCTCGGGGCCATACAGATAGAGCATGGGCGAGGCCGCCAGCGCCGGCAGCCGGGGGCTGAAGAGGTGGCTCATGGCGAGCGCGCGCCGGCGCTGAGCTCCCCGCGAGGCCAGGGGCCCGGGCGGCTTAGGGACTGCGCCCCGCGCCGCAAGGACCCTCCCGGGGAGCCTGCCGTGCGTCTGCCTCCCGCTCTGCCGCTCTCCCCGGCCGCTCCACGCTCTGTCCCTTCTTCATGGCTTTAAAAATGTTAAATAATTGTTGTAAGTTTGCTATTATATGTTGACTTAGCGCTGGAAAATAAATTGTCTATGATAAACAGTCGTTGTGTTCTCAGCCCACCCACATTAATTAAAATTTCATTGCTGAAAAACTCCAAGCTTTTCCCTCCACGTGTCTTTTTGATACCAGCCAATCGGTTTCGGGGCTATTCCTTCATTTGTTTATAGAATTAGTCTGTTGATAAGTCCGCCCACCCAAGTTGAATCAAGCTGTGTTTATTTGGAAAAATTTCCGGGCACCCAATATATAAACGCACTGATCTGATGTTTGAAATATCACGTCCACCCCTTGACGCTGTGAGCACACACAGTCAGCGAGGCAGGATGTGGGCCCCGGTGCCTGGGAGCGGGGTCTGCGGGGCCTGGAAGGAGAGGTGGGGATGGGGGGCGGAGCGCAGGGGTGAGTTTTACCCCTGACCTGGGGGAGCCCCCGCAACAGCCCGGCCTCCCACAAAAGGTCTTTTCTTCTCCCAGGCTTCGTAGGAGGTGTAGAGATGGCACAGTCTCACCGGATGCCTTCCTAGATCTTTGCAAGCTTTTACATCTGTTGTGCGGAGAGGCGGCTCCATCAGAGAGGTTTGGGAGTCTGATGAGACAAGGGAGCAGACCCTGGGCTTGCCCCGCGGAATCACGGCCCTTGCTAGGGGCTAGTATCCCAGAGGCAGCAAGCCTTGACCTCCAGGGCTCCTGGGGACCCAGGGAAGAGGATCCTGGAGCCCAGCTTTTCCTGAAGCCCACACCTATGGTGCCAGGGAGCTGGGTAGGGCGTGGGTTACCTGGTCCACAGCTCAGTTGAGGGAGGTTTCAAAATAAACCCGATTGGAAAGTTCAGGGGGAGAAACTAAGGTCTTTCTAATGGGGCTGAGGTTGCAAGCAAGAAAGACCATAAAAGGGGAATTTGGCAGCTGGCTGGGGAGAGCTGGTATTTGTGAATGCGGGTCTCTTGCTTTATATTCTGCGCTTTCCTGTTTATAACAAGGAGGGGGTTATAACAACTTTACAAGTGCACGCAGCTGGCCCATGATTACATTAAGCATTTGGAAAGCCTGCTTGGTCTCCCCGACCCACCCACTCACTCTGGGGTTCAAGTGCACCCCCCCCATGCATTTTACATTCAGCCACGTCAGAGTTTGAATCAAAAGCCGTGGATGATGCTGATTCAGTTGGAGGTGTCCTGCCCTCACTCCACCACGTTGGAGGGAGGGGGGCATGTAGCGTGACTAGTTCTTGTTTATGATCTCTGATGAATATTTTTTAAAGGAGGAAAAAAAAACAACACCAGCATTCCGGATAACTGAAATGGCATTCCATTGAGTAAATGGGCGGCGGATGCCAAAGAGAAGGGGGGGGGGGGCCGGGGGCCCGCATAGAAATTGCCCAGGACTGGCTCCCACCCTGGATGGGGAGAGAGGTACTCGAGGTGCATTGGGGGGCGAGGGGGCTGCCACTGCTGTTGTCAGAGAGGCGACACCATGCTGCAGGCTGGTTTCGAGCACTCAGGAGAATCTCCCCCCAAAATGGGGAGTCCAGAAGTTTGGGGGTTCCGGATAGCCCGTGGGAGAGCGAATACGTTTGAAATACCGAAAAGGACGCGGCAATCAGGGTGGAAAGACCGGTTTGGGTGCCGGCGCGGCTTGACGGAGTGCCAGGCCAGGCCCTGGGACACACCTCCGAGCCTCCGTCCAGGGCGCCGCATTTCTAACCTGGGGCAACCTTTGGGGCCTGGCCTACCCGGGCCTAGGTCCTGAGGGTGGCCCTCTTGCCTGGAGGGGGCGGGGCGCTGTCCTCTCTCTGGATCTCTGGCTCTTACCTGAACACTCCTTTCAACCCTGGAGCGAAAAAAGAACCTCAATGCCGCGCTTTTGCAACCCTCAGTCCCACAGTCCTGGGGGCTCCCCAACCTCTCCACGATCAGCGCGCCCAGCGCTGGGGTCCAGCTCGGTTTCAAGCCTCTGGATCGCTGGCTCTAACAGACCCAGAACAAAAGATAAACTGGTGTCATCCGCACCCCCACCCCCACCCCCACCTCCGCACCCTGAGCCCTTCACGGAGCTACCCAGGCACCGGCATCCAGCACGCACATCCCTGCCTCTCCCGAAAGGCGCGCCGCAGCGAGGCTTCTTCTAAACTCTAAGGCACATCCGAGCTTGAATTCGTACAATAATAAACACCACCGAATTTGGGCATGGGCCGGACGCAGGCGGAGACACGCGCGTCTGGTGGGCGGGTCATTGATAGTAAAGGGGAAAAAGAAAAATCCGAGTTCTAGTCGCGGGCTGGAGACGCACCTCCAGCCCCGCGTATTTGCTGAAGTTTGCAGTGTTTTCCAGAGCTTGCAGCCGTAGAACTCAGGCCTGGCGCCCCAACCCGGCTCCCCCGCGGAGAGGAATCCTGGCCTCCCAGGTGAAGAGCTTTTGTAACTGCGAAAGGAAGAACCGCGCTGGAGCGAATTTCCGGGGAGCGCATGGCACAAGCCTTAAAGTCTGAGAGCGGATGCGCCCTCGTGCGGAAGCTCTGTGGGTTAGGACCCAGCGAGCCGGGGGCCCAGCGGCGGGGGCCAGGGAAGAGGAGGAATGGGGGAGGGAGGAGGGGGAGGGGAGGTAGCGGAGCCTGGGAGACAGCCGGGTAGAGTGGGAGTCCCAGAAAGCCGGGTGGAGACATTGAAAGTTCCCTGTGGGGTCTTAAGTCTTCAGATTCCAGAAAAGAGCATTCATGTCTGAAGTCAGTGCGAGCACCACTACCAGCCTCAGGAAAGCCCTGAGATGCCCTGATGTTTCCGAAGGACCACAGCGATTCCAACTCTGGGGCCCAAGCAGAAACCGGGTTCAGCGTGGGATGAGGGTCCACAGTCCCCGTCCCAGTCCCCACCTGTTGAGAGAAAGCCTTCTCCTTGGGCAGGCTAGGCAGAGGCCAGGCACCTGGACCAAAGAGGCTGAGGGAGAGACGAGCTCCAATCACTGCCCACTCACTACCAGGTCATCTACCCTTCCTCTGCTCCACCAGTAAATTAAAAAGCGGACAGTCACACATTAATGATGATCTGTGTTATCACTCCAAATATGTGCATCACTTTCTAAGTGTGAAGACAGATAACGAGTATATGTGTGTGTGTTTATATGTATGTGTATATATGTATAATTGATTCTACCATGTGTGCAATATGTTTGAGAAGAGTGAGGTGGAAAGATGTAGGACTTACTTAACCAGGTCACCTTACTGACATCCTGAAAACACTGGAAAAGATGATGATTAAAAGAATACTATTAATAACTAAAATGCGCTGGAGGCTATTATATGCTGGCACTGTTCTGAGTGCTTTCCTGTGTTAGGTCATTCATTCCTCACAGCAACCCTAAGAAGCAGAAACCTGCACCCTTCCCATTCTGCAGACCTAGAACCTAAGGCCAAGTCCTCCTGGAGGAAGGGTTGCAAAGCCAGGGGAACAATTGCACGATAGTGGCCGTTGTGTGTGGGTGCTGAGGGCCCTGTGGCAGTTCTCTTGAGAACCCTTGCAGCATCTATGAAAGACGGGGGGCTGACCCATTTCACAGATGATGAAACTGAGGCTGGGCACAGAACGCCCCCAAGGCATTGTAGGTAGTAAACAGCAGGACAGGGATCAGAACCCACACTTTCTCCTCCAAAGGTAGGTTCTCTGAGGTCTGACAACCTCAGGTGTCCACAGAAGCTCCAAGTGACGTGCCTGGAGTAAGCAAAGGGAGGGGACCCTCCAGAGAGGGGAGGTACGCAGCACCACCAGAGCCGGGAGATTTGGGGCATTATAAGCAGGAACCCAAGCATCCTCACTTTTATCCTACTAAAACCCAGAAGCCCCTGCTCCCCTCCCCTCCCCTCCTCTCCCATTCTGAAAGGACTGGGGAGCAGGGTCTTTTCTGCTTCTCAGCAGTGGGGGGTAGGGGGTCGGGACTGAGGTAACCCTTGGCTGGTCAGCTGATGCTGAGTGAAACCCACAGAGCGGGGTGAGATTTTCCTAATGATTGATTGTTTCGAGCCCACCTTGTTCCCCCAAAGGATTTAAAGGGTCTAAAAGGGGGCAGTTAGGGCACACACTGCACTGCCCAAGCAGTTTATCCTGATACACAGAGTTCATTGAGACCACAGATCCCGTTCTCTTCTGTCTCCAGGTAAATCCTAACATCTAACAGTGCGTCCTTACTACGGGCTGGGCCCTGTTGAAGCACTTTCGTGTTATGTGTCGGATTCATTAATCTTCCCAACAGCCTTATCTGATGAGCCCATCGCTTTCCAGTTGAGAAACAAGCCCAGAGAGCCAGAGGTAGTATGCCCGCCCGGGGTCACATGAACCCTCCGCTGGCCCGTGCAGAGGGCCCGAGCTGGTGCCTGTGGACTCAGCTCGGAGAGAAAGGCTCTGCCGGGGAGCCCGCCTGCAAGAATAACACGAAGGCAGAGAGAGCCAGAGGGGAAAGGAAGGCGCAGGCCCCAGGGCCACGAAGTCAGGGGTCAGAGGAGTCTCTCTGGCCTTCCCGACCTCCCAGCCTGGGTGGCCATAGATTGAGCACAAAGCTATACCCCAGGCTCAAGAGGCCAGGGACCGCCCTCCCATGCTCCCCAACTCCATTCCCTTCGGGGACTTGCAATGCCAGCAAGCCCATCAACCTGTCAACCCACCCCCTGCCCTCCACTTCAGCTTTTCACAGCCTCACAGCCCCAGGATGTCCCCACAAGCCTGACGCTGGGAAAACCGTAGCACCAGAGAGACACATTCGAGAACCTAACTCTACACCAGCGATGCCCCTCTGCCTTTGCTGCACAGCAGGCATGTTGCAAAAGCAAGAGGAAGGCTTGCACAAGTCCAGGCGGTGGCGTCTTCCCAGGCACAGTGGCCGTCCCTGACTGTGGCTGCCCGGCCTTCCAAGCGCCCTACAACATTCCACCCCCTTCCTCACATGCCTGTGTCAAAAAGCAAACATTTCCAACGCCTTGGTGAGCTGAGGCCACGCAAGAAACAGGCAGGCAGGGAATGCTCCTCAAAGTTTGGGAAAGCATTTCAAGTATGTGGTGCAGGAAGTCACTGGTGGCTCCGACCCAGCTTGTCCTGCTCACCTGGAGTCCAGCCCCCAGCCGTCCCTGGCCCGGCTGACACCAAGCCACAAACCCTCAGCTCGCTACCTGTCCATGTCCACCACACTGAGAGCCACGATGGTGCTGTCCAGGGATGAGCCCCACACACATTCCGTGAGGTGCCGGGCACAGGCTCTGAGACCCCGGCACACTCTCAGGAAACGTAGTTCTGTGTATTAGTCAAGGTGCCTTTTCTCAGTAAATTCTCACCGGGCCAACCTTGCCCAGGACCCTGTCCGGTTTGTGTTTGGATTGGGGACTGGGAGAGGAGCGAGGCGGCAAGTGCTCAGCCACCGCGGCTTGTTTTTTCCAAGGGGGACCTGGGAACTCTGCTCTCTGTGCTTTGAGTGCAGCTCACAAGCCTCTCCCAGGCCCGAGGTGACCCCCAGGCAGTCTTGGGGTGGAGAGGAGGAGATGGACCCCGAAAGATTTATGAGCCAAGTGCTGAAGTTCCCAGGACCCTGTGTTTTCTTCCTCCAACATCAGATCTTCAGTTCTGGCTGGCAGGGAAGGGGAGAGGGGATCATTGAGGACCCAGGCAGGAGCCCCAGCGGCTGGGAGGGAAAGTGCTGGGCTGCCCCAAATGCCCTTGCACTCACCTGCTCAGGCTACAGATGAGCAGACCCAGGCCAGGGAGGGGGAGCCGCCTGTTCACACAGCGAGATGTGGCCTTCTGGTTCCTAGCCCAGCTCTCCCGCTTCCAGGATGGACAGCAACCCTGATTTTGGTTACAGGGACAGGCGGCTTGAACCAGGGCAGGGAGGTCCAGCCAGCCACCAACTCAAGCAAGGCCTTGGGAGAGAGGTCGGGGTGGCGGCACACCCGTAGTCCTTTCTCCCTGAAAGGTGAGGTTGGGCATCTCTCCAAGTCTTACGTGAAGCAGAGGCCACTCCGGCTGCTGCCTCTCTGGGCCTGGGAGCGTTCAGGGTGCTCAGAGGCCTCGGGGTCTCTCCAGCTGCCCGTGTCTTTCTGAAGTGTTCAGAGACACGGTCCACCCCGCCGAGGCCAGTGCGAGACACAGGCTCAACGTCAAGGGACATGGTTTCTGCCATGGTCTTCGGGGTGTGTCCATGTTATGTGCAGTATCTCTGAGACCTGCAGGACTGCGTCTTATTGGGTCACGAAGGAACACAGTTACCAGCATGGCTTCATGCAAACTGCATTCTGGTGGACCACAGACCACCGAGCCCTGAGGCCCAGCGGCCTGCACGGACTTTCGGGCCCTTCCACCCTGGATTCCTGTTCCCCTTTCCGGACAGGCCCTGGGCCTCGGGAGGACCGAGGACCGACTGGCTGAAGGAAGGGGCAGCAAGTGGATCTGAGAAGCAGACAGCCTGGCCCAGCACGCAGTCTTTGTGCCCAGGCAGTAGACCGGCAGGGTGCTGAGAAGTGACCAAAAGCAGCCCAGCTGGTGCCTGGACGCCCGCTGCTCAAGGTGTCATGCTTGTGCTTCAGGATCTTACTACTCCGCCAGCCGCCAGACGCCCCGAGGCCCCAGGTCCACGTCGGGCCGTAAAGGCTGAGCTGAGCCAGCTCTGAGCTCAGCATCCAGCACATGGGCCAGCCTTCTGGCACCCACACCTATCTTGGCCCCTAGGGTTTCAGACTGAGGGATCCTGAGGTGACCCTCCACACCCCAGCCCTCCACACTGCTACCTGGATAAAGCCCTAAACGCAATCCCCCAAGTGGCCCATGTTCCCAAGGGAATGAGGAGCCCCTCACTATGTCCTCCACCCAATTGGGGCCAACCTTCTGGAGAACTACCCGCTCCAGCGAGCGGCCCCACACAGCGGGGGGTCCCCACTGTGGGGACTTAAGATGCTTTCCCAAAGGTAGAAGATCCAGGGTGGTTCAGAGGCCAGGCTGGTCTCTCGCCCAACTCCATCCCATTTCTCTGTCTGGTATTCTCCGCGTGTCTCTCAGAGCTGCTCTGAGTGCCAAAACTTAAGATGAGGGTAATCTTTCTGGGAGGACTCTTTGAAACACCTGGGGAGGGAGAAAGCCAGCTAGAATACTCTCCGCTTCTCCTGCGGCCAACAGCGTAAAAGAAACAGGAGCAAAATGAAACCAGTGTGCCAGAGCTGGGCAAGGAGCCGGCTGCCTCTTTCTGCAGCTCAGAGAGGGGGTCTCCCTCTCTATCTATCTATCTATCTATCTATCTATCTATCTATCTATCTATCTATTTATCTCCCTCTCTCTCTCATCTATCTATCTCCCTCTCTCCCCACCTGTAGCTGGCTAGTCCAAAGCACTGGGGCCTGAGGGCCTGCCGAAGGCAAGCCTGGAGCACTGGGGCTCCCATTCCTGCACATTATGAAAAGGAATAAAAGGCAGCATTTTAACCACATGCCACCTCTGGGGCCACAGACTGGAAGAAGCTGTGTCACATATATGGGGAACATTATTATGAGCAAACGTTCCCCAACCCTACCTCAGCATAACATAGAGATAGAATGCCATGTTTAAAACAACAATACAGCACCCAGGTTATGTTCCACGTCACTGCATCAAGGAAAATCTCCTTTTGGGAAATCATCCCGGCTCATAATGTTACTTTTACAAGGAGCTTGGCCCTGGGGGAGGCATAGCTCACCTGCTGGGGTGGGGAACATTCCCCAATTTGGAGCTCCAGCCTCAAAATTCAGGCAGAGAGACCAGCAGGAGAGTCGGCGGGTTTGGGCCAGTGAAATCGATAACAAAACCATGTCCCCTTTGGCCACATCTCACAAAAGTTGTGTTGCTATTAAAAATAAAAAAAGATGAGATATCAAAATTGAAAAGAAAGACAATCTCATTCCTTAAAGTCTGAAAAGGTTGATAAATTTAGAACCCCAAGCATTGGACATTATTTTTGAAGAGCAATGAAGCTGTAAGATTTTTCACTGCAATAGGGTAAGGATTTGGAAATCAAGAAGGAAAGAGATCTGAAATCCACGTCGGAGCAGGCCGTTTTCAGGATGGTCATTGAACGCCACAGACTCAGTCCCCTTTGGTCTTTCCCTGGCCCAGTTCAAATTCTTCTCCGGAAAAACCATGAGAGTGGGTAAGGAAGCCCGCATTTTAGGAAATCCAGGGCACACAGGGCTCCTCCTGGTTTGTAGTTAGCTAACAGAAAATACGTTTCCTTCCCCTGCTAAATTGGGGAGGGGTGGGCATTCAGATGGAATGGCACTGCTTGTCTTGACAATGGGCCTGTTTTTCTGCATTTAGGAAAATGCACGACAGCAAATTACATTCCAGCAAGCAGTCCTTCTGGCCGTGTCGCTCTAGGCAGGACCGTCCCTGGATTGCCTCGACCAGGCTGAAATCCTGAATTAATAGAAAGCCTTTTTCTGTCATGAAGACGACAATAGGGACCTACTCCCCTTCTTCTGTGATCGTCTAGATATGCCTGTCTACACGCTTACCCACCTGTGTAACAAAAATGACCCAAACAGGTGGATTCGCAAACCCACCGTGGCTTTGTTTTAAATGTGAGAACACAAACACACTGTTTTTGGGGCAGAAAAACAACATGGGTTTATTTTAAGGTACGTACAACAAGTAAGACCACATAAGACAAACACAGGTGACGTTAAATTTTTTAAAGTTTTTTTTTCTTTTCTTTTAGGAATGCTCAAGGAGAAATCTACTATACAAAACCATCACACTTTGTAAATAAAAAGTATCAGATACTTGACTTCTTTCTTGGCCAACAGCAACAAAAAATAAATTATGTTCTTGTTTTGTAAAAGACCTACAACTGGGAAAAGAATTAAGTCTCGTAATTGTACAAGGGGGAAACCCCACATAGGTTTTTATGGATTTTCGATTTGGCAGTTAGAAATGGTTGGGCAAGATGAAAATTATCCAGTGAACTCAACTTTAAATATTATATTAATGGCTCTGAACAACAACAACAACAAAATAGCCTGATTACAAATCCACACATTTGTACAGCACGGTTAGAGAAATTTAAAATTACACACAGCACATACAAAAATCTATAGAGAGCGCCATAAACCTATGGAGGTCTCTACAGAGAGTCATTACTGGGTCGCTATGGGATTTGGTCCATAATTTAATTTTGGAAACCCCGAGCGGAGCAGAGAGCACAGCCATCCTGGTAGGGGAGGGGGGTCTTAATATTTATTTCGTTGGGCTACGTCCCTTCACGGGGGCCTTCTCAAGAATCTCAGAAACAGGACGGCGAGTTTAAGTTACCTGCAGCGTCCCCGAGGGCCGGAGCCGGCGCGCGCTCTGCTCCCGGGTCTGAGAAAAGGCTGGCGGTCTTGTCTGGGTTCTCTGCAGGGCTGAACTGTCGGAGGGGGCCGCGTCCGCGAGGCGAAGCCGGAGCCGGTCAGTATTTGGTGCAGTCGTAGGAATAGGGGGCGGCGTGGCGGTAGAGGGACGGCGTGGATCTGTAGGGCAGCTGACAGCTCGCGTTGCCGCTCACTTGGGGCTCCCCGAGGGTCGAGTTCTCAATCCCCAGCCGGTGGGAGTTGAACATCTCCCGGACGTTGGGAAAAGTCTGCTGCTGGGCCGCAAACGTGTGGCCGGGGAGGTGGTTGAGGTCCCCGCTGTGGTTGAGATACCAGGAGGCCGCCTGGGCCGCGGCGGCCGCGGGCTGCGGCGCCGACGGGGGCTGGGGAGCCGGCGGGGGCGGCGGCGCCTGCGGGTGGTGGTGGCCGTGGTGCTGGTGGTGGTGTCCCGCGGCGGCCAGCGCGCCCTCCTGGCCCGCGGCGAGGTTGAGGGCGCTCAGGGGCGACGTGGGGCCGCTCGGGTGGTCCGAGAGGGCCTCGTCCAGCGCCGGCGGGACGCACATGTGCGCCGGTCAACTCGGCGCCCGTGTACAGGCTCATGGCGCGCATGCT